AAAATTAGTTGACTCGAGACGACTTTACCTGAATGAGCGTTACATAGCCGAGTATGACGGTTCATTCAATACCCACAAAATAAAGTACTAAACGCACCTAAAGATGTTTTCACTTCAAAAACTAAATAAAAGAGTAGAAAAGAAAATGTTTTTTATGAATGAAATGAAAATATTTTTTTATTATCCTGGGACTGTTGTCCCTTTAGGACAAATTACAGTTACAGAATAAATACCTGTGTGGCCATTCATAAAATTAATTATTTACAATTCTTATTAGGATTAAAATTTTGGAAAAAGAAAAAACCAAAAAATAGAACTATTACAATAAAAACATACTGATATGTGTAATACAAACGTGGCAAATAGCATAATTTAAGAAAATCATTTCTGTGGGAACTTTAAAAGTTCTCTTATCTATATTTCATGATCAATCGGGTTGGGAAAGGAGTAGGTGGGTAAAAAGGAGAGATTTAAATGAGGAAACTGATTGTACATGTCGGATATCGGGAGGGATGGTATTCCAGAAGGAGACGGCTTCAATTAAAAAGGGTATGTCAAACGCTGCAGTTCGGTGGGGAGGTGGATAGAGGTCGGAGGTACGAGATCTAATGAGACGGGATTGAATGGAATATTTGAATTGTAGGCTGTGAAAAATATAGGAAGGCCGCTGAGTTCTGATGGCTTGGTATAGAAAGGTAGCAAGGAAGTACAGACGGCGGTTGGATGGATAGAGCCACTTCAACTTGGTGTAATACTGGGTTATATGCGTATCTCTTGAGATTCTAAAAACAAAACGTAACGCCCAGTTCATTAGGCGTTTAAGTTTGGCCTCGAATTCTCCCGAGGGTCCGCCGTACACCAGACCTTTATTATTTATTTGTAAAAATATTTTATGAAGTTCTATTTTAAAGTTAAATCGCGGCCTTGAATATCGCTGAAGTTACCAAAAACATTTCGCTGTTATGTGACTACAGCTTCATGACTTTGAGATAACTAATGTGGTCATTATAGATAACTAGTGTGGCTGGGCGAAAACCCACCAAGTCATTGAGTCTTTAATGACAGTCACGCGTGTCTTATCAGTTGTTTTTAGATTTGACGATGCGGTAGATCTAAATAGCTTTCCACTCCTAAATAATATGGTCTGTAGACTATACTAATTTGGTAATAAATAATAATAAATATGCAAATAATAAATAATTTGGTCTAGAGTCATTTGGTCATTCATTTACTGTCTAAATACTCGAGGCCAGAAGACATCACGGAGGATAAGGTAACCTCGTCGTAACGTAAAATCATATGAATCGGTTGTTTTCAAAATGAACCCTAATCATTATTGATACATTTTCAGGAAACGCGAAAATATATATTATCTATTCCGATTGTATTATCAAAACCAATATATGAAAAATAAATTAGAAATTCTTCATTCGTAGCACATATTTCAGAAAATTATTGAAATTTAAATAGAGTCTCTTTTGGAAATAATTAAATTTTAAGGCCCCCTTTTTTTTTTTATTAAAAAAGGGTTGATTCTGGTTCAATTAGCAGAGAAAAATAGTGCATCATTCGGGATGATAGAAGTTATTAAAATTGCACAGTAAAAATTTAACTTTACAACAAACTGGTAGAATTTAACTGGTATAATAAAATTAATATATTATCTTATTTCATTTGATTTTTTTTTCTAAAAATAGGAGAAATAGAAAAATTTGTTTTTCCTCATCAGATCTAAATCAGCATCAGTCATTACGTTGATAATAACCAGAAGAAGTGGTGTAAATTTTAATACAATATACAATACTTAAACAAATACAAGTATCATTATTAGAAATAAGCTTATTTTCTCAATAATATTTTAATATTTAGGTTCATTTTATATTTAAAAAAAAAAAAAATAGCAGCATCAGATTTATTGGATGTTTTTTTACATAGGAATGGATATTCATTTACAAATAAAAAAAAATCGTTTGAGTAATAACTGACTCATATCATCGGTTTATTGTAAAAAAATCACAAAGTACGTTTGATGGAACTATATTTTTAAGAACGTTTTTGTGAATTTCGACTTTATTTAGCGATAAATAAACACAGTAAGTTCACTAGAATTGAACAAACCATTTATACATCAAAATAGTTTAAAAAATTAAAAATCTATGGAAAAAGCAGAAGGAGGAGAATATTTCTATGAGCACTTCAGATAGTATAAAAAGAAGTGTTTTGATATTTTTAATAAATAAAAAAAAATTGTTTCATTTATTGTACATAGAGTGTGAATGTGATATCTGCACACTATTATAAATGTCCTTGAGACAGATTGTAATATTTTTCAATAAAAAAAAAACAAAATAATAAAAAAATAGAAAAAAACATTTATACTCGATTGCATTAAGGAGAAGCATACCTACAGCTATCCAATGTGAGATTCTCACTGGGGATTACTATACAGTATTGGTAAGTATTGAGAAAGTAATATCTGAAGCTATGTTCATCTTAATACCAGATGAGTTGGCTCTCGAGATACCAACTAATTGTGGTATAGTGAGCTGCAGGAAGCAACGCACAACATTCTCCAGCGTCCTGGTACAAAGGCCTTCAGTCTTTCCACCTCGTCATGAAAAGGAAGATCTCTCCAGGACTAAGGACTCAGTGTTTTCGGGTTCCCTATCCTGAGTCCTTGTTGGCTAGCTTTCTATCCTGTCAAAGGGGTGTGTTCCTTGAGCTGAGGAAAGTGAAATCGTCTGGAGATGTCTTTACAAACGATGAATTGGCAAGGAGTCCTTTTGATAATAAATAAATTATCATTATATGAAAATAAAATCAGTTCCGTTGAATACATAATTATAAAGAATCTTGATATTTATCTGATCAAATTATTAATTTATAATTTTTCAAAGATTACGATTTATTTTATTTTATTCTCAGAATCGTTCGTTTAGACGTTTAAAAAAAAAATCGTTTAGACGGAATCGTTCAACTATTGATCAAATATTTTCTTTACGGCAAATATTAGAGAAAAAATTGGAGTATAACGGTATTGTTCACCAGCTGTATATAGATTTTAAAAAGGCTTACGATTCTATTGACCGCCAGAAACTGTATAATATTCTAATCGAGCAGGGGATTCCAAAAAAACTAGTAAATCTAGTCAGGATGTGCTTGACGGAGACACTCAATAAAGTTAGAATCGGTAATAATTTGTCCGAAAAATTTGAGGTTCGTTCGGGCTTAAAACAGGGGGATTCTCTTTCGCCTGTCCTGTTCAATTTGGCATTAGAACATGCCATTAGGGAAGTAATGCGAACCGAGAAAGGGTTGGATCTGGGCGGGACAACATCCCTGCTGGGCTATGCTGATGATCTGGTACTGTTAAGCGAAGACGTTGAAACTATAAAACTAAATACGACAACGTTAATGAAAGCCGGTAAAGAACTAGGACTCGAAATAAACGTGGATAAAACAAAATATATGGTTAGCAATGGCGATACTACTGGTGATATCGATATAGATGGTAATATGTTTGAACAGGTAGATAAATTTAGGTATCTAGATTCTACGATAACTAGAAAAAACGAAATTGAAGAAGAGATTAAGGTTAGACTGAAGACGGGGAATGCTTGTTATTTTTCTGTGACAAAACTACTTAGTTCGCGCCTCTTGTCCCGAAACTTAAAAATTAGAATCTATAAAACAATTATCTTGCCTACAGTTCTTTATGGATGCGAAACTCGGCCGCTTACATTAAGGGATGAGCAGCGTCTTAAGGTTTTTGAAAATAAAGTATTGCGTAGAATATTCGGACCGAAGTAGGATGAGTTAACCGGAGAGTTCAGACGGTTACACAACGCCGAATTGCGTGAGCTGTATCCGGGTAATATAATTGAGGTAATTTCATCGCGGCGAATCAAATGGGCTTGTAAAGTTGTTGGGCTTAGTAACGAGAGAATTCCTAAAAGGTTAATATTTGCTGTGCCGAATGGTAAGCGTCCGAGGGGTAGACCGAAGCGAAGGTGGGAAGATTGCATTAAAGCCGATCTGAAGGGACTGGGTTTAGACGGCGAACGGTGGAGGGAGGTATGTAACAAGCGATTGGTGGTGTCGGCATCGAACCTTCGGGTTCGCTAAGCCTTATTATTATTATTATTATTATTCTCAGAATCAGGGAGTATATATACATACAGTGAGTGTGAGTCGCTATTTACCTAAAAAAATCCAAGGGTGGGTTACACACAGGAAATTAATAAAAAAAAAACTATTAAAATTAAATCTTCATTTATTTAAATTTTATTGACTGACTACAACTAGAGTTCAGTAGTGGATAGGTCGGAATTTAAATGTAAATAATATACTTCTTTGTTGATTTAAATGTTTCAGTTTTTTCTACTTTGAAGAACAATGCCATCTATTGATAACTGTATGAAAGTTCCTAAAAGAAAATTTTAAAACGCCTATCATTGTTGTTTCTATAGTGCTTTTGAGATCAGTGTGTTTCATACCTTCCTATTAACAGTTTTGCTAAGAGTAAGTTGAACATTTATGTTATCTTATTTATCTCGTTATCTTTATAATTAAATAAATATTTTAGAATTTTTCTGAGGTATGTCCTGGAATGTACTGTTACTGAACCCCTGTCCATTACTAGATTAAATTTACTTTCTTTTTTACATCTTCTTTTGAACAACCCACTCATGGAATTCGGGCTGTTTCTCCTTACTCATCCTGTATTTGAAAACTATTGATACGATATATATATACCGATTTTTTTTTTTCAATATTCACATCACTACTAAACACTAACCGTCCATAATTTGTGTTTCGACATACATTATAAACCGATCGTAAAAAGATGTCCTAACGAAAGCAAAGAACCGGAATTCCTCAATGGCTGTTCGATGAAGCGCTCGCTATTAGCGATAGGGACTGATGGAAGAAGATACGACCGACCATTATACAACAAGTAGAACACGACACCTGGCTTTCGACACAATGGAAGCCGTTAATTAGTATTCGATACCTGTCCTAGCAGTTGTGCAAGTCATCATCAACACGGCTGAGAAAGGAATCTTCGATGAAAAAGTGTTTGTTGGCCGCACGCACGTTCCGGCCCACATTGGGTTGCCACAGCGCTCGCTCGGCCGAACAGCAAAATGTGCTCCGACCTTTTTGTCGAATTCGAAGAATCGGTTCCATTCTGCCGTGGTTTTGTCACCGCGGAATTGGTCACAGTTAACAATTCGAGATAATGTTATAACACCGTTCCTTCTTCTCTCGATAAAAGGACAATGCTGAACATTTTGCGCTATAATTCGCTCAAATGTGAGAGTTAGATAAGCCTGTGAGCACATAGGCATGCCTTAAATTTTATGATAAGAGTTATGATTCATTTCTTTACAGATATCTAATAGTTTTTTAATATACTATCTAGCAATGGCGGATCTATGGGAGGACTTTCGCTCCTCAACCAAAAAATGGAAGGATATATATATATATATATATATATATATATATATATATATATATTAGGTTGGAAAATAAATCCTTTCGGTTTTTCTGTTTATTTTTATTTCACTATGATACACTTATTATCTAATGAATTAATCCCTAAGGCCGATCCTGTTTGTAATATGTCAACAACTATACCTATTAACTTGTTCACATTGTACTCTTATCTATAATCTCTTAATTCTATTTTATATGTGTATGTATATATTTATAATTTAATATTTCATAGATATAGTATTTTTCCCTTGTATCGATCCATATCTTCAAATTTTGGATACTGTAATTTTGTAGGTTTTTCCCCATTACCCAAACAAGTCAGCTTCCCCAATACCTGCTCCCTTACCATAGTTTTCCAGTTCTAAGTGAAACTCCTAACTGAACACACCTGTAAGTCTCTAATTTTATTTACTTATTTATTTAATTTTTTGGTTTTCTTTTTTCTTTTCTTTCTCCACATTCCTTTATGTCTATTATTTCATATTATATCCGTTTCCTTTTCTTTCAATCTCTACTGAAGATCTGTAGAAGTATATTCACATTAGCATTTATTATATATTACACTACAACAATTGTTAGCTTCCATTTACTTTATACAGTTTAGGATCTTGTTACTTAACTTATTCTGTTCATATTTTAATGTACTTACTGTTTATAATTTTAATAAGCTTATTCACATTGTTTATAATTTTTTGTCTAAATATTATGTAATTTCCACAATTCTCTGTCTTTCTTTAAATTGTCCGTTCTAGCCCTGAAGAAGACCTGCAAAGTCGAAACGTTGGCTTTTAATAAAAGGGTTTTACCATTATTTATGAACGCCACCCCGGACCATCTCGTTCCTTTATACCTGTTAACTCTTGTTGAAACTAGCTTAGTATTGTATTTGCTATTGCTCTGTGAATATGGAAGAAAATATCATTCATCATCGACATATTTTGTTATATTATTTTTTTAAAAAAAGCGTGCTGCAGAAGCTTATACAAAAATTTGCTGTGTTTATAGTGGTGATGCCTTAACCGAACGCACCAGTCAAAATTGTTTTGCCCGATTTAATTCTGGAAATGTTGACATCAATGATGTTCTCGTCGCCCACATGAAATTGAAACGAGCAATGTTAAGGCCATTGTTGATCAAAATCCCACCCATTTTGTGCGAAAGATTGCTATGGCCCTAAATGTGTTACACACAAGCGTAGAAAACCATATCCACAAGCTTGGCTATGGCCTCTCAGCTCAAGCTTGGCTTCAGGCTTAATGTTTGGATCCCTCACTCTCTAACCGAAGGTCAACTTGGTAAAACTGATTCACTACGAAAACGGCAACAAAACAACCCATTTTTGAAAAGGTCAAAACCTGGATTGCATCCGAAGATGCAATCCAAAAACAAATGTTTTTCATATGGTAGGATTTCAAGAGTGTTATTTTCTATGAGCTATTACCATCAGGACAAACACTTGATACAATTCTAAACTGCTTTCAATTAACAAAATTGGACCAATCAATTAAAAATAAACGCTGAGAACTGGCAAATCGGAAGGGTGTAGTGTTACACCAATACAACGCAAGGCCCCAGTGACCTCGTTGGTCACTCGCAATAAATTATTGAGCCTTGGATGGGATCTTTTGCCCCACCCTCCCTATTCACCAGACCTAGCTACAAGTGACTATCACTTATTCCGGTCTTTGTAGAACTCCATGATTGGAAAGAAATTTCAAAAGGAAGAGGACATCAAAAACCACTTGGATTAGGTTTTTAACAATAAACTCTAGACATTCTATGAACATGGTATTATGCAGTTAGTGGAAAGATAGGAACAAGTCATATTAAATATTGGTCAATATATTGTAGATTAAAATAAATTATATGTCTATAATGCATTGAGTTTTATTTCATCCTGAAAAATCGAAAGGACTTATTTGCAAAACCAACACACTTTACTATAAAAATTAATTTTCTTCAAACTAATTGTTATACTTCTTTATTGAGATATATTACAATCTGTCACATTCAAGGACAATAGTAATAGTGATAAAGAATAGCTCATTCATACTATACACAATAAATAAAAATAATTAAACAGAAAAATAATAATACTAAAAGTAAATGTATATAAACTAAACTAAACTAAACAAAAATAAATCAATCTAACAAAATAAATATTTAAATACACACATGCTTTTATACAATATTTACAATATTCATTCACTCAAGATCTCCGAGCCAAATCCTTCCCCACCTTCGTGGAGGGAAAGGCAGGACTCTAGGAGATCCCAACGTCTTTTACTCAGCCGCATCACTAGTATTACCAATGGAGGCTGAGCAGAGACACTATAGAGACCTAGAGTGAGACGGCTGAGTCTTGGAGGAGCGATCTCCATTGGTCTTTATCCTTCAATTCCACAAGCTCCGATTTCACGGTTAAGGAGAACAATATTCCATTAGAAACCTGGCTACAAGAAATGGCAGACGTGCTCTTCGGGTATTCCTGCCTGTGTTTTTTCTGCTACCCTGTTTCTTATCAATAGCTAGAAATACGCGGTAGTGTTCAAGCAATTAGGACTTGTTAAATTTTATTTATTTATTATTATTTATTTTTTATCATTGAATATTAGTCGATATCTGTCGACAACTGTTGACAATCAGCAGATGGACTGATTAAAAGTAATGAAACTGACATGTCAGTGATGGGAATTTAAATTTTTTTTTTTTTTGTCTATTAAATATGTATTTGCGCCTGTCAACAATAAGTTAACAATCAGCAAATGTGATGGCGATAATGATAAAATGACATGACAGGCATGGGGAAGGAAAGTACTCAGCAGTACCTCTTCCCTAACTTGTTCCAATTACTTAGGTTGTCTAAGGAAGGAGATCCCTCATCCAACGCCTTTTTAGTCTCCTGCTCATGTTCTGAGGTATGTCAGCTGTGGCCATGTCTCTTATAAGTCTGTTATTATGTCCGTTTAAATTTGTGTAAAATCGTTGATATAGGGTCTTTATATGTTGGTCAACTGTTGGAAAGTGGAGGTCAGTATGTAGAGTTTTGTTAGTCACGTACCAAGGTGCTTTTGTTATGAGTGGCAATAATTTTGATTGGAACGTTTGAAGTTTTTGTAGGTGGGTCTTTTTAGCGATGCCGTATATTTGTGATGGATATGTCCATATGGGCTTAAGTAAGTATGTATATGTATTCAGTTTCTGTTTTAGTTTTAGTTTCGAAGATTTGGCAAAAAGAGAGTAAAGTAGTTTGAGTCGTTTGTTAAGTGTCATGCGTTTCATTTTAACATGTGGGCCCCATGTCATCCTTCTGTCGAAGGTGAGTCCAAGGTAAAGTACCGTGTCCGTTTGAGGAATCTGATTGTTGTCAACATAAACTGGAGGACAGGTGTTTTTTCGAAGAGTAAATGTTATATGTTTGGATTTGTCATGATTAAGTCGAATTTTCCATAGTGTGAACCAATCTTGTAGTTTAAGCAAATGATGTTGTAGAGTTAGTGAGGCCTGTGTAGGGTCTTGATGTTTTGTGAGGATTGCTGTATCGTCTGCATATGTAGCTGTTAAATTTAAATTTAAAAAGAAAAACCTCAAATTAATTAGCTTCTCGTAAAATGTCTTATTTCAAACAAAATCAAAGAGCTTTATATAATAGAATAAAATATAAATTTATATCAAATGACGATAAAACATTCGTTAACGGTAATTTTTTTATTTTAACAAATAATTGTTTCTAAGAAAAATTTGGCTATTTATAAACTTTTAATTTTATTATTATTATAAATTTTGATACTATGTTTACATATAACTGTTGTTAAATATAAGTTTTAATTGTAATTAGTATAAAAATATATTATTTAATTAATATATAGCATTTAAAGAATTGCTCAATGATCTGTTCTAGAAAATAGACGAAATTAGATATGAAACTGCGGCTAATTAATTAAAATAAATCAAAGGTATGAATTGTGAAAGCTCTTCTTTCTGCGTAGAAGGAAAATCATAACCGAGAGTAGAAAAATTCAAATACCTCGGCTCCACAACTATAACTAGCCCAAACAGAGCTTTCTTCTCCCTCTCTAAGGTATTGAAATCCCGAAAAATCTCAAATTAAGAGTGTACAACGCTATGATAAAACCAGTTCTAATATATTACTGAGAGACTTGGACACAAATTAGCAACCTAGAAAAAAGTGTTGAAAGATTTGAGAGGAAAATCCTCCGCAAGATAACCGGAGCGGTCTGGGATCAGAGTACTAACACATAGAGAAGAAAGACCAATAAAGAACTGTTTACAGAAACTATTCAATCAATATCCCATGTTATGAAGGCACGGAGGTTAAGATAGGGAATGTAGCTAGTAGCAATCCATCTGGAAGCCTCTACGTAATAATGAAACCCTCAATAGAAGGCAAAAGATCACGTGGAAGGTCAAAAAGCAGATGGATAGATACACGGAGGGGGAGCTTTCGGGACGAATCCCCCCCAAATGGTAAAATATAACCATGTCTTGCAGAAAAACATTTTCATGATTTAAAAAAAAAATTAATTATCGTTATGTGCACATGAAAAAAATATCAATAAGGATGAAGTTACCCTCCCCCAAAAATTAAATCCTGGATCCACTAGTGATTAGATAGAATCAACAGAGATGCAACAGAGCTGCGTGCAGATAAATGGAAAGAAATCGTCCAAGACAGGCAGAGATGGAGCAGGCTTGTTAAGGCGGCAAAAGATCTACATGATCTGTAATACCAACAGAAATATATATATATATTCCCTCTCCTAAAGATATTTTATTTTGTTCTTATTTCTATGTATTATATTGTTAGTACTTTATCTATTTAGGTTTCTGT